CTCCCCCGTGGACCCGCCTATGCCTAACATCTCGTTTCCCTTTAGAATACCTAAGTCATTCGTTTTTATGTTTATAGGTGGATTCAGTTATTTGCGTAGGTGACAAGGCGAAGAATTTGAAAAATTGCATGAGCCTGGTGGACACGGAAACCATCTCAAGCGGAGAGCAGTGTCGTTTTCAGAGTGACTGCGCGATTCGTGGGAGCTGGTCGCGTGTCTAGCTACACCCTCGCCCTCGTGGAAATCGCGCAGGGATCGCAGGGACCCTTGGAAGGAGTCGCAGTAGCCCCTCGCTCGCGCCGTCCCGGCGACCGTAATGACTCTCAAAGCAAAGAAAAACAAACTCAAGTAAGTCGCCAACTTCCACTGCCGCTCACCGCATTCCAAGTTTCCCGCTTTTCCCAGTGTTCGTCTTCGTTGAATCCTACCATTTGTAGTTCTCTCGGTTATTTTCGCTCTTACTTTATTTGTATTTTTTAAGCCCAAACGACCTATGTTTACGGAAATGTCCTTAATATCTTAATTTACCAGGTTGTTATTGTGCGACATCCATTCGGACAGTTTAGATATTAGTTTTATTTAAAGTCTCACCGAGCATGTTGTTCCTCATCTCCTCGAAGGTAGGAAGCACTTAAACACGCACTTAAATCGGTGATTTTTACGGGAGCTCAGTAGGTATAGTTCAACATTTTGTTACAAATGTAAATGCTCATTCCGTGTGTTTCATATTTTTATTAGGAAGTAATTATAGTGCTTTATCTTAATTTTAACTTATTATTTTGAATTTTTGTGAGTGCAGATAAATATTTCATTGCAAGGCCGCGTATAGCATTCGTGATCGAAAGGGGCAAATCTTTGTCTTAAAGATTTACCTCAATGAGTAATCTTTTTTGTCATTTTCCCCATCTCAGAAGTTCTATTTAAGAAAAATGCTCCTTGAAACTCTCCGTGCTGTTGTGCAAAGGTAGACACGTTCCTTCTTAGCAGAACTCCAGGCGATGATGAAATATTGAGCTAAATCAGCAGGAATCACAGGAAATTTCTTAATTTAAGTTTCAAAATCAAGATGTAAAAAAAGAGAAAATCTTTCTCTATTAGATTATTATTAGAGCGTATCTCTGCTGTATGATGAAAGACGTAGCCAAAGGGGGGATCCTAAGAGTCTACCGCATCCCTTGGACTAGAGAATTTTCTCCCAGAGCATCATTTTTAGTGATTTTCAGGATTTTTTCCCCTTTTGATGGCCCCCCCCCACTCGCTTTGAAAAATGTCTGATACGTATATGTGTGTAAAGACAATGTACTATAAACCATGTACCATGCTATTTTGAACGTCTCTGCTGTTGTAGGTGGCTACTATACGTACGAAGAGTAAAGGTTACATGATCACAAATATACTCACAACTAAGTAGCACACAAAATTCGGCATGTTTTTGCCGAGTTTGTGTTTCATTTTAAAGATAATCCTGAAGTCCATTACTGACCCGGGTATTCATGGATAGGTTTTCACAGGAGATGTACCTACCTGGTCAGAGGTGGATCTAGAAATTTGGCAACACCGGATTTCCTCTATTTAAACCCATGTTAAATCATCGATTCTTCTCGAAGCATCTGGCCCGGTTATAGGACATTTCGTCAACGATTTTTTGTCCGCGCACCTATTTTTTCCAGTAATTTGTGTACATGCGTTTTCTCGGCACGGGAGTTTTGGTCCACGTGCCAGTTGAGACCCCAAGTTGAATGGTCCACATGTAAATACAAACGACAATTGCTCACGACGTTTTTGGATGAAAATGTATAATACCTTGGAAAAACGAGGGTTTGTTTTTTTTTTTGTTTTTTTTTTGTTTTTTTTTTTGTCTGTTTGGTCCAACGGAGAATGAGGTTGAGACGGAGGTTGAGAGTTTTGGTAAAAATGGGGGAGCGTCAATTCCATGCGACAAAATTCACTAAAACTCTCTACACCTCTATGGCATAACAGGACTTAATTATCTTTCAAGAAATGCCCACCTTGTTATACCTGAACCGTATGAACCTCTATATTTGCCTCAGCTAAAGGCTCTTAGATTTTTCCTGTGTACGATAAGTATCTTGCTTTATTTTGCGAGGAAAGATCTGTACTTTTAAAGGATTGCCTGTCATTCTTAATACGTTCAATTTCTTATAATACTGTGCAACACCTCTGTTGTGAAATAGTTGCTTCAGGCGCCGCCGCGGCCAGCGCAAAACGCGCATTGGCGCCTACAAACCTAAGTGGATACTTCAAGCATTGTGCAATGCGTGAAGTATCCACTTAGGTTTGTAGGCGCCAGTGAGCCTCTTACGCTGCAGCACGCCGCTCCGCTCTGTTAGGCTTTAATATTTATACTCGCATAGTCAGCGTTTTTAACTCATGATTTAGTAATGTTTGCACACTCTGCATTGATTATTCTCATTTAAATTGATGGGGAAAAAATATGTGTCAATCTATCAAAGGAGAATAATAACATAATGTGTGTTTTTTCAATATGGGTGGTTCCGTGTCAAATTTAATGATTTCCAAAGTCCTTTACTATTTTCTTTTACATTTTGTGCTTTTATTGTGCTGCAGCAAGGTGTACGCGCAACCAAACGCTCAAAATTTGACGTATTTGACTTTAAAAGATCGATGTTCAAATGCACCGAAAAAAAATAATATGCTGTTTTAGCATCTAGGATGTCAAAAATGTGTCTGGTGATCCCAAGATGCTGCCTTTACTGCCCCCGCAGTTGAATTTGCATTCACAGGATGTAAAATTAATTGCGGGGGCAGTAAAGGCAGCATCTTGGGATCACCAGACACATTTTTGACATCCTAGATGCTAAAGCAGCATATTATTTTTTTCGGCGTGGGTTAAAACTAAAGATTGCATGCTCCTTGGTTTTTCTTCCTCTTTTATTCATTTTTGCAGTTTCTGTCGGCACAACTGCGGCTCATTGAGATTAATGTCGCTTGGAGAAGGTTTTACAAATATTTGTCACGTTTTACAAATATAAATGTTCTCAAAATGAAGTAATGATTTCGTAAAGAAAAAATTAAAAAAATAAAAAAAAGTACAGAATATTTAAGGATAGAAATAAAACCAAATATTCACCAATGACAATTTGAAAAGATGATTCAAAAGGAGAAAGTAATAACATTTCATTTAGAAAATGAGCAACCATAACAACATCTCCTTCTCTCTTCATTTCCCATTTCCATATTGTCAATATAATTTTACATACCGACTAAAATATAACGCTTGGACCAATTCACTGTTGCATATTTTACGTGCTCAGGTAAACTTCTGGACAAAAAAGGTGCGTGGACAAAAAAGGTGCGTGGACAAAAAATCATTGACAAAATGTCCTGAAACCTCTGGCCTCTCCAAGAATCGATTAATTTTCATAGCTTAAATGGAGGAAAACAACGTTGCCAATTTGCTGGATCCGCTATTGTACCTGGTAGATACCGGGTCTTTACCCAGGGACTCTCCGGATACTTAAGTACCAGTGGCGTGGCGTGAAGGATCGATTATCGATATATCGCCATTTGAAGCTATGGTAAAGAATCGATTACTAAGGTGTTCACGGCGAACGCCCTGATAATCGATATTTTTCCATAGGTTTAAATGGCGAATCAATCGATACATCGCAAAGCACGCCACGCCACTGTTAACTACTCACCCTGTTAGTCACTCGGAAGTCTTCCACTAAAAGAGTCAAATCGGTTTTAAATCCACGCATTTGCAATTTCTAAGATGATTTCCGTTCTTTCTCCGCGAGAATTGAGGGTGGCGCTCCTTATTAAGAATTTTTACTTTCTCGCTACCCTAAGAGAAAGTATTGTCATTTCCCAAGGGGAGGGGGGGGGAGTTGAAATTTCATCATTTCTAGACGTTTTAAGGTCCCATGAGTCAAAATAACCATACTTGAAAAAATGTGCGTCCGTCCGTCCGGCGTCCCCCAAATCTGTGTACAGCGATATCGCAGAATCTATCTGTTCGATTTTATTCAAAATTTGCAGAGAGCACCATATCTATGGTCTCCTTATGGACGTCAAAAGATTTTGGGGTACGCTGAAATTGGGGGGGGGGCTAGGGTCCAAGGTCCATTTTTTTATCATTCCTAACACTTTGAATATTAAAATTCATTATTCACTTGTTCAGTCGGAACAGGTGATATATGATATCGTTGTCTCTGATCTTTGCTTGCCGACCCGCGTAACGTACAGTGGTGTGGCGTGCTTTGCGATATATCGATTAATCTGCGTTTCAAACTCATGGAAAAGGATCGATAAACAAAATGTTCGCAACGAACACCTTTATAATCGATTCGTTACCATAACTTCAAATGGGGAAATATCGATAATCGATCATTCACGCCTCACCACTGACGTCGAAGTGTGCACTCTCGCATTACAACTATTCGCATTTGCAAAACATAGGAATCAAGTGAGAGCGATAAAGGTAGGATATTTTTATTGCGTCCCTCGAACTGCGCAAAAGTGACAACACCTCTGCGCGCAAGTATTCATGCTCCCGTGCCGCTCATATTGCCATCACGGTTTTTGAAGGCGAACTGAACGGAATAAGAGACACGCAATAAGGAAAGAATGCAAGTCAACATGATTGTGTTCTATGCCGGGACAAGGCGAACATTTTTTGTGTTTCTTCGCTCCCTCCTATTTGGAAAAAAGGTTTGAACGCGCGTCTTCACGAGAAAGATCGACATTAAAACACTACCTATTGTCTAGTAGTAACAAGCGATGAGAATAATGTATTCAATTTATAAGTGAATAATCGATTAAAGATAGTGGAGGGGATTTAGTAGCAGTAAAAAAAAATATGCAGGTTTGTAAGCACACGTGTAGTTATCATTTTGTAAGTAATAAGGGACGATAGACGGATTCATTGTAGTCGAGTTTCTATCAAAAAGCTGTGCACCCCTTTCTCATCCATTTTTAAGAATTATATCAAGTTATTCTCTTTGGATTGGAAAACTTGGGGTAATCAACACCGCAATTTCACGAAAATCGTTGAATCTTTATAAACTAAAAAAAGCCAGCGCCGATTAAACGTTCTTGGCGAAAATTTGAAACGCAGAGCCGGAGCCGTAATAGATAAACATTCCCCTCTTAATTATAAATTGTCTGTGATAACTGATTGTGAAGCGTTTATATTGCTTTTGGTCATGCTACCCGATGGAACTCACTGGTCTGTTCCCAGTTGATAAAACCCGCACGTTACGGGGCGAAAACAACGATCAATAAGATTCCTATCGCGATGTTGTCGATTTGTCATAATTCGGGTGAAATTAAAAAATATACAGACTCGTTAGATAGTATAAGAG